CGTGTGCTCTTCCGATCTATGTTGCTATCATACGTACATTCGTTGCGTATAACAAAAGGATGTCATCAAGATGCTATCAACTTGTTATAATCAAAATTAAAATTAACATGAGGGCAAGATTTCACATATAGTGAGGAAGCACCTTGTCCCTAGTTTGTCGAAATCTATTGCTGCAACGGTTGACAGCAACATGATAGCATCTTGATTTCATTTGGAAGTATTTTAGTCGTGAGAAATAAATCAAACAAATAAAAGAAAAAAAATATAAAAGAATAGAAATAGATGTAGGAATATGTCAAGAAAAATGTAGAAAGAAACTAAGAAAAGAAGAGAAGTTGTATAGAGAATATAGGTACAGTAATATATAGAATAAGTATGGAAAAGGCTTAGATTGCTAAGGTAAGAAAATTTTTGAAAATACTAAAGATGAAAGATTTAAGTTAGGATTTTAGGTAAATAAAGTGAAGAAAAGACAAAGAATGCGAGAAAAGATAGAATAATAAAGAAAATGAGATATAAAAAAGTATAGAAATGTTTAAAAGTAAAGGGTTATATAAAATAAAATAGATTTGTATGGAAGAAAACGAAATTAAAATCCCTTCTTTGGGACTAAATACTAAAAGTACTAAAGACTTCTATTTCATCTTTATAAAATCAAAAGAATGATCAGGAGACACGGTAGCGGCTTCAAGTATGGCCACGTTCAGCAGACAAAGCAGATCAGTGAGCCCTTACAGTGATTCGCTGGATCTGAGTGAATAAACCAATCGTAACAAAGAATCACTGAGCGCTCACTGATCGGGACTGTCTGCTGAACGTGGCCAATGCTTTGTACACGAAGCTTAAGCTCACCTTAAAGCTCATCACGAGGTGCGTTAGCTTTAAGCTCACTGCTAGCTCACCGCATACGTACCGTCTCTTCGAGCTGGATTGGTCTCTGACTAATAAAAATACATATTTTTAATAGCATTAAATGAACAAAAGAATTAACTAATTATCATTTATTATTAAGAATTAATTTTTTAAATTAATTTTTAACAATTAATCAGTTGTGAAATTAATTCTTAACAATTAATTTCTTATTTAATTAATTTAATTTTAATCTTATTTAACTAATTTAATTAATTATTAAGAATTAATTAATTCACAACTGATTAATTGTTAAAAATTAATTTAAAAAATTAATTCTTAATAATAAATAATAATTTGTTAATTCTTTTGTTAAATGTTAATTATTTATTGAATCCACGATCCTGGCATTCTTTATTTTTCCAAACTCCGGTTAATTCAATTAACAAGTATAATTCTTATTTTGTTAATGTGCGTAAAACGAATAAAATTTTTATTATTTTACTACTTTTATTGTTTATAATTTTGAACAATAGTATTTATAACATTCGAAAAGAAATTAATTATTAAAATAGGAAACGATAAATATTACATGGTTAGAAATTATTTGTTTTAAACAGTTTAAATAAATCAGCGTCAATTGGAATCGATATATGAAAATTAGTCTGTATATTATTTATATTTAAAAAAAATTTCTTAAGTGTAGATTTAAAAGAATGAACATAGTATATATAGTAATCTTAATTATTAGATTATTCTTTCTATTTGCAATTAACGTCATCTCAAGATAAATCTTTCGTTTTAAAGGTTGTTCTTTGTTTTAACAAAAGTGCATTGTGTTCTTGCGGGCTCTTCTGTTTTATCCCCTTCTGGGCATATTCAGGGGAGAAATGGTGGCGTGTCCTCATTCTCCACTTCTCTTTCCTCATCCTCATTCTTCACTTCTCTTCTCTCATCCTCATCCTTCACTTCTCTTCCCTCATCCTCATTCTCTATTTCTGTTCATCGTCGGGTGTGAGTGCATAGGAGGTGATCAGTTAAATCCACCCCTATAAGGTATTCCAGACCCTTCCGAGTTTCCTCATCCTGGTATAATAAATAATACTATTATAAGTGAATATTATTACTAATAATTTTTATTGTAATTTATTCACTTATAATAGTATTATTTATTATACTTATATTTATTATTCCGCACCGTTTTTAATCTATTTTTCTATTTATTTATAAATAAACACTGACACTTCTTCACTGTTTTGTATTACTAATAATATTTTATTGTAATTTATTCACATATAATAGTATTATTTATTATACTTATATT